GGATTCTCAGTTCAACTATATTAAAAATATTTATAACATGTTATAAAAATTATTCTATACAACACTGATTTTTGTATAGTATTATAATAGTTTATTATTTATAATTAATATTATATCAATTTACCTATCGTTACATAGAATACGATAAAGACAGTTAATATATATTTTTAAATTTATACTTGTATTCAATTTAAAAATAGTAAACAGTATGACAATTATAAGTAGAAAATTTTACCTAATTCTTGTATTATATTATCGTTTTTCAGGGATGACTTGCCACTTTATCGATGCTGAAACATATGAACGTAGTTCATTTGTTTTGGGCTACAGAAGAATAAAAGGAAGTCATAATTACTTGAACATTGCAGAAACAATGACAACAATCATACAAGAGTATAATATTCATTATTCAAAAATCACACATACAGTGACAGATAATGCAAGCAATTTCGGCAAAGCTTTCAGAACTTTCTCAACAAGCTTACTACCATCTCAGTCAACTACTATGGGTATAGGTGACTTAAATGAAGACATTTTAGACTCCGAGGATTCTGATTTTGAAGACAATATTACAACAGTTGATATTGGTCAGATATTTAATAGTAGTTCAGAACATCAGAATAAAGATGATACATTTTGTTTACCCCCACATATGAAATGTTGTGCTCACAATATAAAGATAATTAAATTTTATATTTTATAGAGATGTTCAAAACTAATTTTTTAAAAATGTTTTCTGATTTTAAACACTTCGTACTGATAAACTAATACAAACACATGCACAAACTTTAACTGCGCCACTATTTACGGAGGTAAACGGACGACTAGTCGCCGCTCTTTCGTTGGTTTTTTCTTTATAAATACAAATCATTTTATCGGTTGCGTTTATCGATTGATAGAACTTTAATATCTGAAAACCAGTTCAGTATTTAATGTAATAGTACACATTTTGATGCGGTAAATCTGGCTGTATCAACGGCAGACTCACCGTAATTACTATCTGTTATAAATTTAATATATTACCTATCTGTCAGTTATTTTGTAGGTACTCGCTAGTTGTTGTATACAAGTCGAAAATATGAACAACACTGTTGACTAGATAAGGTAAAGCTAGCTGTTAACCACCCTGTGTCTGCTGACTAAACTCTAATCGACTGAGTGTATAGAGTCGGTTAAAAAATTACAAGTATTGACTAGGTAATGTAAAGCTAGCTGTTAACCACCCTGTGTCTGCTGATAAGCATAACAATGATGAATGTATAGCAAATCACAATATGGTAACGGTATGATTGACGGTAAACTTGATTAATAATATTAATTTGACAAATACAAGGTTACTCGCATGAAAAAACGCTACAGACCGCTGGCCAGGGCAGCTATCTAAATCCTAAAATACCAAATACAAAGAGAACAAAATATACAATATAAATAATTCAACGTCCTTATGACAATAATTACATGATGTAAATGCCAACTTGTGCTGAGGAGGCATGTGTTTGTAGGACTGGAAGTATTGGTATCGGTTTTCAACGATTTCCCAAGACACCCAAGCTTTTAAATAAATGGGTCAAATAAAATACGTGTAGGATCACAAATTGTTTTATAACATAGTAACGTTTGCCCTATTAAGATTATTCAATGATTCATACCTATATTTAATGTAAATATGAGATGTTTATATAATGAACTATAGCACGAGTTTGTTAAAGATATTGTTTTGCCCAAAGACTTTTTACCAGGAAATAAAAAATTAAAAAAAAAAATTGTAATGCCGACAAAATATTTACCCTTATTAATTGGTTTGTTGGCCAGCAAACAATTATAATAAAAATATAAGTGATGATGTAAGTGTTTAGAAATATTTTAATAATTCTTCAATAATTGAGATACCTACATTTTTTAAATAAAATTATTTAATTCTAACATTGATTTCTAAATTAAAAATAACAAAAAACTTATATTTAAGAACAATATACATCAATTATTTAACTATAATTAAGTATCTACTTATAACAAACGAATATTTTTTCCAAAAATAATTTAAATACAAAAATGAAAAATATGGAAAAAAAACTTTTCTTAATTTTAATGTTATGTCTAATAAAATTTTAGTATAGTACTAAACCTAGTCCAACAAAATATTAAGTTTTCAATGTTTTCAATGAACCACTTTAATTTCAATTAGAATTTTAATAATTATGTAGTTTTATTGTAATGGTAAACTTAACATAAAATAAAATATTATTATGTGTGTATACATAATATCATTTTAATTCAACATATTTATGGAATTAAAAACATGTTTTCAATTGAAAAATCGAAGTCCATACTTCTTTTACGTTTAAGGAATGTAGGTATACATTTTCTAAGTATTGAAAAATATAGAAAACTATATACCTACAAGTATAGAAAAAAGTCAATGATAAAATGTAATTAACTGATAATATAAGCTCTACTATAAACTCTTATTGCTCCCAAGTGTATGTCATAAAACTAATTTTACCATCCGCGCATGTGTAGGTATACATTTTCTGTATTATGTTTTAGATGTAATTTTTTTAAATTAAGATCTGAAAATTAGACAATGGATCTAATGTGGCTATACTTAATCTAAGGATGTATACAAAAAATTGAGATTTTTATCATTATAATTCGTTATAATAATACATGGCAATAATTTAGTTAAAAACTCAATGGGTGGAGGAGGAGTAGTGACCGAGGCCCGTTAAAAAAATAATGATTATACTTTCAGGTACAATTTCTGATCTACAGGATGATCCGTCTGTTGTAATACATACATTTCCTCGGATAATATGAATATTTTGTAAATTATTATTTTCTTATACCTGTAGGTACATATTTCACAATACTTAAAAACATGTTATCTTCATCCCTAATATGAAAAATAAGTATGGATCTTTTGTTTTTTAAATAGGAACATAAGGTTTCAATTCCATTGTATTTGCATAACAAATTTTAAATCATTTTAGGGTTTAAATTTTAAATTCTTATCAACTTGTTCGGGTGCTATGACTTTGCATAGATATTACATTTTCTCTTATAATTATCATATGAAGGGCACATGCGAAAAACGGTAGTAGTCACATTATGAAAATTTTAGAGTATAGCAAAAACAAAGTCCGTGCATTCCTAAAAATATCCCATTAAATGCTATTCTAATAAAAAATGTATTTATTTAAACAATCATTGATTTAAATAACAAAAATTAATAGTAGAAATTGAAAAAAACTATCTGAAAAAAATAATTTCACATTGTGACTACTACCGTTTTTCCCGTGTGCCCTTTATATGTCATAGATTTTCCAAACTCAAGTAGCCCATAAAATTCATATTTATGTTCGCATTTTCCGGCTAAGCCAGAACACCAATAACCAGATACAATAAACGATTTTTGAGGTAATGATAGACTAGCTGATCTTATCTACCTATTCAAACATTGTGATGGTAGTGGTGTTATCGATTGGGGTCAATACTTTTATTTAATGGGAAACTGATGTGCTACTGTTGTAAAAACCAAACGAAGTATTGATCTTAAATTCAAATCTGTACAATGCCATAGCAAATGAGATTGATGAAAATTCTAGAATTTGAGCAACACTTGCGGTTGTAACAATGTTGCCGTAGTACGTATAAGCTATGGAGTATTATTTTTGTGGTTAAGGGTTTGTTTGGATGTTAAATTATTTTATTTCTTCATTCAAATGTCAAACACTAACATTTTTTTAAAAATTGTTGTCTACATATTTATGGAATTCAAAACATATGTTCCCAATTGAAAAAATGTAAGTGTTTGACATACTTCTTTTACGTACAAGGAATGTAGGTAAATATTTTCTAAGTATTAAAAAAAATACAGTAAATAAATTATGCACCTACAAGTATAGGAAAATCAAATTTTTATATTTTTCATTTTTCTCTCTAGAACTTTATCGTCTTTTAAAATTAAGTAGCAACGTGAATATATTTTAATTAAGTGTTTAAATAATAGAATCTTTGTTTATTTATTTGACGGGTGGTTAACCAATTTTAAAATTGACCACCCTCGACATGGTTTTCTCCACATTTTACACAGCGGGGAGTATAGGAACAGTATCTTATAGTATTAGTTTCGTTTACAATTGGATTGTTGGCAATCTAATAGGCGAAACAGTTTAATCTGTTTTTGGAATCGTATTGGCTGACATGGTACTAAAGTCTCCTTTGCTATATTGCCTGAGGAGTTTATTAGGAGCTTAACAGGCGATTGAACCTCTAAAGAGCTTAACTATCAAGTGTGCAACAAAAACAAAACAAGTTTATTAAATAAATAAACCTATAGATGTGTAGCGTTCTTTGTAGTTAGTCTAGATAATGGCACAGTTGAACGGACACACGAGTACGGGTAAAGTTAAAAGAATTATAAAATAGTTAAGTAACTTGAAATAATAAGTAATGGCTTGAGAATAATTTGGTCGCGATCCGAAGATGATAGTATGAGGGCGGTTAAGTGTGACCATTACAACACCTATTCAAAAAGAGTCCGTTGTTTTTATTTCTTTTATCTATGAAGTGTATTAGGATTATAATATCTCCGTTCCCATCAGACAATTAGCATGTTATCGTAAGCACTAAGCAATAATAGTTAAGTAATTAAACAAACAATTTCTATATAGGTATTATACATTAACTGTGCTATTATGAAATGAAATCAGTAATTGACTATCCGTCGATGAAAAAAATATGTTGACGCTATTCATAAACTTTATTAAAACCCGACTGCGTTCTATACTACAAAATATTAAAGTCGCTTGTGATATTGAAGAATTTCGATCCGCTATTAATAAAAGTACAACACAATAACAATTTGCCTTGTAATCATGTTTTCATTTTCGGTTGTCTATGTTTTTTTGGAGTTCGCTTTGTTGTATTTACATCCGACCGAGGCAGGTTTACGGGTGTTAGCCGTGCATACGATAGCGGCAAAAAGTCATTGGAATTTCATGAACGGATTTTTGCATTCGCTAACCGACGTCGGTCATAACGTTACGGTTTTCACCTGGTTTCCCGAAGGCAAACGAGAAAACTACTCAGAAATCGTTTTAAAGGGACCAGAATTTGTGAACTTGGATTTAGTTAAATTTAAAGAACAGATAAAACCTCCAAATAATTTACTCAGACACGTTATACGCCGTAACAGACAAGTATGTGATATTATATTTTCAAATCCTAAAATAGAAGCCATCATGAACGCGGAAAATACCGACGAGTTCGATGTCATCGTCACCGAAACCGCAGTTTCAGACTGCATGTCACATTTGGTTCGTCGTCTCCGCCTACCTTTAATTTACCTCTTTCCTTTACCAATACCGACTTACTTGGAGGCGTCGTTTCTTGGTGAAGATCCAAACCCTGCGTATGTGTCAAATTTAGTCTTGTCATTCAGCTACCCAAAGACGTTTCAACAACGTTTGCTAAACTTTCTCACCTACAAATACATCAAAATTATGTTGTGGTATTTTGAAACGAGAGCCGTGAAGTCCAACCCCAGACCGTACGACTATATTGAACCGGTCAAGCCGTCCTTGGTGTTTGCAAACAGCCATTTCATCGTCGAACCGGCCAGACCCCTGCCACCCAATTTCAAAGAAATCGGCGGCATTCATCTTCCTGAACCCAATGAAATACCAAATGTAAGTCATAAATAAACAACTAAAATGACGAGAAATACACTAATCGGACGATGTGAATGAGAAAAGGTACGAGTCTAATATCACTAGATTTCATTCCACATCAGCGGTTAAAAAAAAAAAGGATTCTTAAGCAAATTCATTAATAAATATCCATAAGATTTTATCAGAATTGTGAGTCTTACACGATCACTAATAACAAACGATGTTAGCAAGAAAAGTCTAAAATATGAGTTTTCGGACAACACCACTAAGAAACAAAAAAAAAATGGTATTCGAAGCTAATATTTTTACATAAACTACTTAATTAATGTCATACACGAGTTTAAGAAGTGATAGACATCTCGTTAATGCTAGGTCTTGCGTTGCTTATGATTAGCTTTAAATTTGAATACTTCCATAAAACTAATTTTTTACAATATTTACTTCAGGACATACGAGAGTTCATTGAAAATTCACCAAATGGAGTTATTTACTTCACGTTTGGATCAACAGTAAAGATGTCATCATTTCCAGACCACATTAAAACCGCATTTAAACTAGCTCTTGCGCGCCTCCCTCAGAGAATACTGTGGAAATATGAGAGCGAAATGGAAGACAAACCGGACAACGTGATGACGAAAAATTGGTTCCCTCAACGCGATATTCTCAGTAAGAATCAACGAGGAGACGTTAAGTAATAATTTATATCTATTTCAAACCTGTAAAAGTATAAACTGATTTTTTCCTAGTGCACCCGAATATCAAGCTGTTTATCGGTCACGGTGGAATATCTGGTGTGTTTGAAGCAGTCGATGCCGGAGTTCCGATGTTAGGGTTTCCACTTTTCTACGATCAACCGAGAAACGTTGCCAATCTGGTCGACGCCGGAATGGCCATTTCACTCGACGTGATGACCGTCACCGAATCTCAGATATTCGAATCGATTAATAGAATTATCAACGATAAAAAGTAAGAACTAAAGTAAAACAAAAACGTTTTTCAGCCGAGTCTGCAACCACGAAAGAGCATTTACATATCTCGTTGAAGTACCGAGATAAATTTAGAGTAGTGGTGGAATTATAAATAATGATATATATTGGGAAGCAGTAACAAGCTAGTATATAAATTAAAACATAGTGTTTCTGGCTAATATTGTAGTGTTTAATATTTGGCTTAAAACAATTCATAGAGAATTTGGGCCCTTAAACTGTTTTGAATTTATTATTTAGTTCTAATTTGAACGTTGAACGTACAACATATCTCTTATCTCTTATCTCCTATATTTTTTCCTGTCCTCTACTCCCTAAATTCCTACCCCTATTTCCCACCCCCTATCTTCCACCCCCAACCCCATATCCCTGTGGTAACGTTTTTTTCGGTTATGTGCCGGAGCAAAGACATGTAAATGTCAAAATATTACGTTATAAATTAATAATATTAATGTATGGAACGATGCACGAAAGGAAAATTTAACAAATTAACAAAAAACCATATTTACCGACAATGAGTAGGTATGTAGAAAAAAGTAATAACCCAATCAGTAAATATTTGTATATTTTAGGGTCAGAATATTATATAATCTAAACTTATGTTTGTATTAAGTAACTTGTTAGCCACAATATGCATAAACAATATTATACATATTATCTTTTCTATTTTTTTTTTATAGAATTTTAGAAAAAACTGATTTTCTATAGGGTAATAGTTATAGAGGGTGATTTTTTATCATTGGTCACTCAATATCCTACTTTGTTTAATTAATTAATAATTGATTTTTTTTTTCATAGTGTTTTGATATAATGTGATCTCAATTTTCCATAAGTTATTATGTTTCGAACCCTTCCCAAACTAGTTTTTTTAATAGCAACTTGTACAAGTTAAATATTAACGTATATATATTTTTCCTTATTAATTAAGAATATTTTATTAAACATTTTGACGGGTCAATAACCAGATTTGGATATCCATTTTTGAAATTACCTGAAGTTTTAAATTTAGGGCAAGAGGAAATGTGGAGTGTAATATTATTTTTATCTGCGCGCACTTCCTAACCGAACTTCTCCTACCGTTTTAACTTTTAAACTCTTATAACTTCAAAAATAATTATGTGAATCTGGTTATGAATCGGTCAAAATTTTTAATAAAAAATGCTTAAATCGAAAAGTTAAAAAAATACTTATGTTACCATTTTAGTCTCAAAAGTGGCTTTTAAAAAAAATAGATTGGGTGGGGAATAGGAACATAATAGTTTATGGAAATATATGATTCCGTTAAATAAAAATATTTCTTTAAATTAATTGACAACTTTTGTATAATATACGATTAGAATATAATTTAATCTAAGCTAAGAATCATATAAGACACAATATATTTGTGGATAAGATTAAACGTTTTCATACTTTATACATTTTTTTAAGTAGAAAAAAAAAAGTTTTAGACATTATAGAACTTATAATTTTTTTTATTTGTTCTTTTGTTACTCACAACTAGGTACTCGTATAATGCTAAACTAGCTTCCAAGCGTTTCAAGGATCGTCCAATGTCACCTGCTAATTCAGCCGCTTACTGGACGGAATATATTGTACGACATAATGGTGCACAACATCTAAAGACAAAAGCGTTTGATCTCACGTGGTACGAATACTACCTTCTAGACATACTATCTCTGGTACTCGTCACAATTTCAGTCATTGGTTTTATTATATATAAATGTTTACATGTTGTGTTCAAAATTGTTTTTTTCAAGTTGAAGACCAAAACCGAGTAATGTTTGTATTTGGCTTCTTTGTGCTTTATATAATAGATTAATTGTTTATTGATATTTTGTACAAGTACACCGATATAAAAATATTTTGTAAACCATGATCAAAAATACTAAAATAATTTTTGGGTTCGAATTTCATTTGTCCTTGAAGTATACAGCATATTCAATAAGACAACTGACATAAATTAAATAGTTCTAACCTATGACGCGGGAAATGTAGGTAAGCAGTTGTCATATTCAAAACCCTTCCGATTTTAGGACAGGAAACTAACATACATTGTTTGTTCAAGTTGTTTAATCTGTCTTAAAACAAAAATAACGAGGATATTTTAATTGTGGGGACGGATAAAATCACTTTCGAAAAAAACGCTTCAATGCAAATCGGTAGTCAGTATTTTCAAGCCACTACAATCCAAACCATGCACAGTGTAAGCCAGCAAAGTTAGAAAGTATTAAATTGAATCGGTCATTTCATGAACAACTTAGGTCGCCGATTTTTCAAAAATATCTTTTCGTCAAATTTAATAATTATATACTTAGTTACGTATTTTGTGTGAAAACTAAATTTGTCAGACTCATATTTAATACAAATGTTGAGTACAAGAAATTAGAATCACTGCAAAAACTATTTATGAAGTTTCTTGTGGCTAGTGTAAAATTTCAAATTTATGACTTGTGTCATTTTTAAAATGACTGATAAAATTACAAATAGAATCATCAAAGCGTAGTTTGAAAGTGATTTTATCTGAGAGGCCTAGTACAGTAGAATATAGGCATAATGGAATCAAAGCAACGACGCGACGGAGAGGTCACAGGTCTACACTCTACAGGAATTGCTATAAATAAAAGTGAATAAACTCACTTTGAAATAATGTAATTGGCTAATGAAAAAAAAAAAAGATTTGTCGACAAAACTGTCGATAAAACATTTACGGTTAAATTTTAAATTTTAACTTTACTGATTGTGTAAAAAAAATGATTATGTGTTATAAAAATATTAATACTTAATCAAAGAGTTGGTGGTTATTTGTAAGCGAGTATAAATGTGATATTTTTGAAAAAAAAACCAAATACAAGTAAATGTATTGCATATAAAAAACGAATTCCCTCTTGGCGGGTTTTTTTGTGAAATTGCTCTTGGAACAACAAATAATTTGAGGTTATGTACCATTTGGATTTTACCAGGAATTATCAGAAAAACTGATTTCGTCAGCTCTTTTACACAGAGGTATTTTTCCATCATAATTCATATGATATTTCAATTTACATAACGGTTTCATATGTATTGTTACTCGAATTAACTAAGATTGAATACTGAACGTTGTATCATCGAATAAGCTACAAAACTCGAGGCTAGTTTTCTTTGTGTTCTTTTAAAAACTAGTCAAGAAATCCATGTGGGAGTAACCTCAAGTCATGTTAATATTGTAAATATAATACCCCACTCAAGTTTCAATTATTTTCATTCATGACTGAAAATATATTTTAATTTGAACATAGTAACAGAATAATGAAATATTTTATACAAAATCAGAGCTACAACTAAAAAATTGAAATTGGCACGAAACAGATTATCTAATATTGGATAATTTAAATAATCAAGCATCTTTAATTGAATAACAGTTTAAAAATATGCAAAACATTAGTGTTCCTTTAAAAAAAATTGTGTAATATGAAAACAATTTTGAGGCGGTAGACAGCATAAAAACCAACACGAGTAAGAGTTAGAGGGTGAGGGATAGGCTAGCATAACTGTGAGCAAATCTATTCGTATAGCAGTGAATAACATTTAAAAAACGTGAAGTTACCGTAGAAATTGGGTGAGATCTTAATTAGATAGTAAGTGAGAAAAGAAGAGAATGTAATTACCACTTTCTCTACAAGAGGGTATAATCATTAGGAGCAATTAATATTGATGTAGAGCAAAAATTCTGGAAAACAAACATTTTATATTCACCGAAAAATAACAAATTATACAATCATTACTCAGTTTTGGTCTTCAATTTGAAAAAAACAATTTTGCATATAACATTTAAACATTTATAGAGAATAAAGCCAATGACTGACATTGTGACGAGTACCAGAGATAGTATGTCTAGAAGGTAGTATTCGTACCACGTGAGATCAAACGCTTTTGTCTTTAGATGGGGTGCACCATTATGTCGTACAATGTATTCCGTCCAGTAAGCGGCTGATTTAGCAGGTGACATTGGGCGATCCTTGAAACGCTTGGAAGCTAGTTTAGCATTATACGAGTACCTAATTGTGAGTA